TCTCTCAAGGAAAATCCCGAATTGAATCCCAAATTGACGGGTTAGTGTGAGCTTATCCATGCTCATACAGTAACTGTCCTAGTTCTACCCTATCTTTTGTTTCATTTCTTCTGGAACAATCACAAACACTTTTTTTATTATAGATCTACTACCAGAAATTCAATGCGTAATCTCAGCATTCAATGTGTATTCCTGAATAATCTCATTTTTCAATTATTCAAGCATTTCAATTTACCAAGTTCAACGTTAGCCAGATTAGTTAACATTTATATGTTTCGATGCAACAACAAGATGTTATTTGTAACAAGTAGTTTTGTTGGTTGGTTAATCGGTCACATTTTATTCATGAAATGGGTTGGATTGGTATTAAATCATGTAATTAACCTCTTCTGGTTATTTGGTTAATTTCGAAAAATGGGATGGATTTACGATAAATCTCATTCAGTTAGATACAATAGATTAAGACGGAATGCCAAAAGAGTTGACTGCTGAGCCGTATGAGGTAGGAAACTCTCAAGTACGGTTCTAAGGGAAGGAATTGATCCACCTATCCCGACCAGGGAGAACAGGCCATTCGACAGGGAGATTCTAAAATCGCAAAGACTTGGTCCGATCAAGCAGCTGAGTATTGTTCCAAGTGGTTAAGATGATCATGTGGGTTAGCACTAAAAACCAATATATCATCAAATAAACCACAACAAATTTGCCAATAAAAGGACAATGTACCTCAGTCATTAGGTGCATGAATGTGCTTGGTGCATTAGAAAGTCCGAATGGCATCACAAGCCACTCACATAGTCCATCTCGAGTTTTGAATGCGGTCTTCTATTCATCCCCAGGACGAATCCGAATTTCACGGTAATCACTCCTTAAATCAATCTGTGAGAAAACATTGACTCCATTAAGCATATCTAACATATCATCGAGCCTGGGTATGGGAATCGGTAGTTGATTGTAATTTTGTTGATTGCTCGACTGTCCACGCACATCCTCCATGACCCATCTTTCTTTGGAGTAAGTAATGCACGGATGGCACATGGTGACATGCTTTCTCGAATCAATCCCTTCTTTAGCAAATCAACAACTTGTCTGTGCAACTCTTCATGTTCCATGGGGCTTATTTGATAATGGGCCAAATTTGGTAGGCTAGAACCAGGCACTAAGTCATTGTGATGCTGAATATTTCTCATTGGAGGAAGACCATTAGGTAATTCTTCAGGCACCAAATCTTTATATTTCTCAAGTAGAGGTTCAAGAGACCTAAGAATTGTAGTCGGTGCAGAATTTTCTGTTGCGAGCAACACATAAATCACATCCATATTCTTGCTGCCCTTTTTTAATTTTTGCACATTATGCAACTTTGAACCCTCCTCTTTAGTGGATTTGGGTGTAGGAAGTTGCTTCATAGGGTGGAGTATGATATTAATACCATCCTTAAGAAGAGAATAAGTGTTTGGTCTAGTTTTATGCACCATATCATGATCATAAAGCCATGGTCTACCAAGTAATATGTGACATGCATTCATAGGTCCTACATCGCACCATACTTCGTCTTTATAATTAGCACCAATGGAAAAAGAAACTAACCATTGAGTAAGAACTGGTACCTCACCTCCTTTCTTGAACCACTGGATGTGATATGGGCGTGGGTGCTTATGTTCCTTCAATTGAAGCTTATTCACCATCTCTTTAGACACAATGTTTTCACTGCTCCCACCATCAATTAGTATTGTGCATATCTTGCCGCTTGAAGTGCAAGTTGTTCGCAAAATATTGTGCCGCTGCAACTTTTCTTCCTCGCTAGATCTTGGGGTTGATAGCATGGTTCACTAGACAACTAAGGTTTCACCCCCTTCATCTCCATACAACTCCTCAATCTCACCTTTGACAGGCTCAGTCCCTTCATAAGACTGGCTCGTCCCAATATCACCGTGGCTTTTATATGATGCAGCCATGCCTCAGCGCCAGTCGATAGTTCTTGACAGGGCCAGGAAGGGCCGTAGAACCCAAGAGGGAAAGAAATGGCAATGATGTAATAAGGGGGAATTATTAGGGTTATTTTAATTATTATTTTGTTTAGGAAGTGCGCAGGGATAATTAAGTCGGCATGAGTTTATATTGTGTTTATCTTGTATCAATTGGGTTAGTTTGAGGGATATAAATAGGAGAAGGTTAAATTTAGAGAGTTTATTTTTATCAACAATAACCAACGTTGGGAGGCTTTTTTTGGGTAAAACGTGGATAAAAAAAATGTGGCTATCTAGAACCCAATCCTTGGCACGTAAAGTTATAAGAGAAAATAGGGAGGAGAGATAAAATAGGAGAGTGCATGTAGAGTGGGGCTTTTTTTTGCTTATCTTCTTTTTTATTTTTATTTTTTTAGTCTATTTAAAGGGAGACCTCCCTTCATTGTAAAGTAGTGAATGAATTGAATAAAAATTGGTCTCGTGTAAGAGATTATTTTGGGGGTGGATTCCCTTGCAGACCTTTGAGAGAGGGTATTTTCTCTCAACCTTCCTTCTTTTTATTGTTAATTTTCTGGTTTTATTCTCTCCTTGCATCAATAAGGTCTTTAAATGGCTACATAACCCCAACATGGTTCTCCTTAATTTCAATCGGAAAATGTATCTACTTGCCTTTTTTTTTGTTTTAAGTAAAATTCAATTTGTTGGTATTCACTAATCATTGATGTGAAGATTCTTTCAATGGAACAGATACTGTGGAAGTTTTTGTGAGTTGGTCATAACTCTCTAAGTTCAGATTTCTATACAGCTGTTCATACTCATCACTGGGTTGGTAATACAATTTCCAATTAATGCTTAAACAAGTTCAGAAATAGAATAGCTATGCATGGTGGTTAGAAAGACAACTTGATATTCTAATTAAAGTTCAAACATGTTGAGAAATAGAATAGCTATGCATGGTGGCCTGTGTACCACATAGGAGTCGTCTTTCACTTGATTTTCTAGATATTTCAATGGGTCCCTCATGAAGTCTACTCTAATGCATATGGGAGACAAGGGTCATGCTCCAATGATTATGCAGCTGTGTCCTCCTGGTTTGTGGTTACCAAGAGGGGGTGAGGGATGCAATCATGTAGAATGCAGTTACCCACTAGAGGTCCAGCCTAAATCTTACATGATACTGTTTCTCGTTGCGAATTGAATTCTTGAAGGGAAATTATAGCCGGCTATGAACGATCCCTGCACACCTGAGGACCGCTGTTAGACCTCCCCCTTGGTATCCACCCAGATCCTTCGATGCCTTTTGCGAATGACTAACTCTCACAACTGGTCCTCCTGTGTAGCAAACACCTCCTCCATTTCCCTAGTAGTACAATTATGGAATACTTTTGAGGTATTGTATGAGAGTTTCATAAACAGAAGAACCCTTAACTTTCCGGAGGGAGATGGGACCCAAATGAGCTTATTGTCACTTTCCCTGGAGAGATGGATCGCTTACAACACCGAATAGAAGCCTTCAAAGTTGAGGAGTTCTGAGTCTTGTATGCTCTTTTGAAACAAGGGTTTCACACCCTTGAACTCCTTGTGATTCAAACGAGTATGCAACTGTGTCCTCCTTGTTTGTGGTTACCAAGAGGGAGTGAGGGAAGCAATCATGTAGAATGCAGTTACCCACTCGAGGTCCAGCCTGAATCTTACATGATGCTGCATCTAAGTGCTAATTGAATTCTTGAAGGGAATTGATTATAGCTGGCTATGAGCGATCCCTGTACACAGTGATTCAAAAAGCGGACCACCAAGCGCTTAGGCGGTCCAGAAGGCCTGGCTGCATCGCTCACGCCTAGGCGGCCAATTTGAGCGGCAGTCCCTGGGCCCCAGGGCCTGTGCCCAGCCCAAAGGCGGAATTTTTCCTTTTTTTTTTGTATGATTTTTTTTTTAAATATAAAGGGTTAGAAGGATGGTTTTAAGTTCATTTGAAACCTAAAACTTATTGGATCCCATTTTAGAGATAGAAAGCTTCCAAAAAACTAGTTTTTGGTGATTTCTTTAGAATCGAAGGGTTTCTCAAAGTTGACAAAAAATGATCAAAACATCACCCATTGATATTAGATTTAATTTTTGATGTTTTATAAATCCATTGGAGGGTTGTTTAGAAGATTTTGAATCCTTAGAAGCATCTTTGAGGTGGAAGTTTAAAGATTGAGCAATCAAACTCAAAGTAAGTGCCCTAAATTACAAATTTTTATTTTTTATACTATATATCCTTTTTTTTATTCAAATGGGCATCCTTTTTGGATTTGACTGGGCTGCCCAGGTTTTGGGTGCTTGCTTGAGCGTCCACCTAGGTGCTGGGCGGCCTGGGCCCCCAAGGCCGCCTAAGCCCCGCCTAGCGCTTTTTGAAACGCTGCCTGCACACCCGAGGGCCACTGTTAGACCTCCTCCTTGATATCCACCCAGATCCTTCGATGCCTATTGCGAATGACTAACTCTCACAACTGGTCCTCATGTGTAGTGAACATCACCTCCATTTCCCAAGTAGTACAACTATGGAATAGTTTTGTTGTTTGGATTTTTTAGAGCCAGAACGTGATTGTTTTGTATAGTGTAAAGTTGTATAAAGAAGGCATTCCAGATATTTGGCCTTCAAGATATTTCTGAACCATCAGATAATTATGTGTGGGTTCCTTTTATGAATGGATAAGCTTTATTGACTCCGAGTGCTTGATGATATAGCCATTTCACCATTAAGAAGATATATATGGGAGTTCTATGTTAAACACAGACTTTGTAATATCATAAACATTAATTTCTCAAGAACACAAACTCTAGAAATACATGTAAATCGAATTTCTCGTCACTATATCTTATTTCAGTGAGGTCTGGAGAATAAATAACATCTTAGATTTTAAGAAATATATTTTCCAAGCCTACTGATAAATATGTCCAATGCTGTATTGGAATTTCAATGTCCCTTGGCTTATCTTATACTTATTCTTGTGTAAGTAATTGTACAGTCCTGGTTCTTCTCTGCGCCAGGTTGGACCAAGGACATGGTGAAGTATATTCATGCCCGACATGTCGGAGACCTCTCTTTTCATGTGGCTCCCAAGAGAACACAAATTTGCAGGCGGGACAAGTTTCAGAAGATGTGCATCTTGCTAGACAAATGGCTTCTGGTATGGATCCTCAAAGATTATCTGGACATCCAGATACCGTTTTTCTGAACCAGCAACAGAATCCCTCTGGAAGCAGTGCATGGAGGTTAGGGTTAGTTTATATCTTACTGTTCTCTTCTTACTTATCTTTTGAGATAGATTGATTTGATCCTTTATATATTCAATATCATTGCATGGTCTTGTTTTGGCTTGTCACTTTTCATTCCACAATTGAGAACACAAGGGATTCAAAGGTTTATTATAGTATATATGCAATATTGCATAACTAGAAATGCTATCAAAGTGACAGCATTCCAATGCGTCCTCTGTACATGTGAGTGGGGAGTTTATGCATGCATGAATGAATGCGTGCGTGTTGCTCTCATCAGCATGCTAGAGCTGCTGGCATGTTGAATATGGTTTATATGCTAGCAATGATGCCTTTCAGATAATCAATTTTTAGTTTTCCAAGATAATTTATTTTTGTAAATGAAATTTTATTAAAGAAAGGGAGTCTTACAGAGTGTATCAAATGTCACTTTATGTGACAAGAAATCCCCATGCTCTATACTCCCTTTTATCGTTACCAACTCTCAGCTTTGCTGACCATTCTCCCACTCGGACTTCCTGAAGATATGCACAATATCTTGAATGACGTAAGAAAAAAGGCATGGAATTTTAGCATAAGTTCCTTCCAGCTTTTAGAGGATTGAAGACATGTCTTTTGGCCCAATGTCATTTTGCAAGTTTCTTTCAGTGAGGACTGGTCCCACAGTCCCTTTTATGATCTGCCATCATATTCTAGGATTGCATATGATTCGGCCTACATGTATCTATTCGCCCCAATAACTGCATGGAATTTTAGAAGAATTTCTTTCTTGTTTCAAATTGCAAACCGCCAAAGTCCTCCACTCCTTGATTTCATTTTTTCCTCGATGTCAAATTGATGCTAGTAACAACCTGGGGTGGTCACTTGTGTGTTTATGATGTTAATGTCTACGCTTTCTAGGTTTATCTCACCCCTCTTCAACACAGTTTCCTTATTCCTCTACTCTGTGGTGGTGACCCTGCTACATTTTCTCTTCTCTATGCCAGACACTTCCTCTGGTTCACCATCTCTTCTTCCTGATATTTTCTTCCTGAAGAACAGAAAAATTTCACAAATTATCAGGTGGTTTGTTATCAACCAAATCCTCCATGTGATCTCAGTGCTTGCCCCTATCTGGCAATGTTTTCGTTCATGATCTTATTTGACCCCCCTTATTGTTCATAGTGATCATCCATGCCCTTTAAGCCATTCCTAAGAAATAGAAGGAAAACAAAATTGTATCCTCTCAATGTCAATGTTCTTCAGTGATACGCCTCTTGAAATTGGATGAGGCAAATTTAGCAGACAATAATACATTTCTCCAACTATTGTCTGCTCGCGGTTGGTTCTTCTATCAATGGGTATAATGAAGTGATATGCACATTACTTGCCTGCAACTTCACATGTGCTTCAGGAGTTATAAAAAGTTTACTAAGTGAATCATGACATGTGGTCTTCCTATCATGGTTCTATTGACCTTTTCTTTGATTTTGGCTTCAGGGAGTAAACTGGTACCTTGGATATTGGCACAACAGTCTTTACTCCTGAGCATTGACCAAGAGGCAGAACCCAGGTTTTTTTAACTTCACAGAGAAAACAGAGATAGCGTTCCCTACGGAAGCAGTCACATTCATAACTTTTAATCGTTGCCTGTCGGCTAAACCAAAATTAATCACATTTTGCATGAATTTCAATTCTTTAGTTGTTTGTAAGTTATGAAATATGAGATGTTGCTACTATATATTATCATCACTGTCAATACTATTATTTTGTGACTACAAGTAAAAAAAAAAAGAGCCATTATTGGAAAAGGCTTCACCCAACTACTTAACCAAGGCTTTCAACTTACGACTACAACTGTTAGTGAAAATGAGCCATTACATTTAGTTGCTTCATCCTGTCACTTACCTTATCTTTTAGGTCAATTGGTTGATAGGGAATCGGCAATGGTGGTCATGAAGGTAGTCTTCTTGTGGTTTGTGGGCTTTAAAGCCCATGAGAGCATGTAAAAAAAGTAAATATAATAAATTGTACACTTCAATGGGAGTGTATGTGGGTTGATTGACCTAGGGATGGGCAGGCTATGGCCTAGGTCAAGTCCAAAACCCTTTCCCCTAGGCATAGGTACGACTGTTGAGGGTTTCTTGGAGGGTCATCCCTTGTTGAGGTTGGAGAGATGCTTAGGGACGGTGGATGTGGGCGAGAAAAGCTTCATGGTCTCTTGTGTACGGCTGTAGGTTGTGAGAGCAAGCGCTGAAATCCTCAACAAACTTGCCCACAACATGTATATATGAAAATTGCATTATGGAAAGCTACTCTATAGAGGGATACATGTACATTTGCATAGAGAGTCCCCCTTACTAGTGACATCGGCATGTGACTTGCTCTGATGTTGCTACTATATATTATCGTCATTGTCAATACTATTACTTTGTGACTGCAAGTAAAAAAAAAAAGGAGCCATTATTGGAAAAGGCTTCACCCAACTACTTAACCAAGGATTTCAGGTGTACGACTACAACTGTTAGTGCAAATGAGCCATTACATTTAGTTGCTTCATCCTGTCACTTACCTTATCTTTTAGGTCAATTGGTTGATAGGGAATCGGCAATGGTGGTCATGAAGGTAGTCTTCTTGTGGTTTGTGGGCTTTAAAGCCCATGTGAGCATGTAAAAAAAGTAAATGTAATAAATTATACACTTCAGTGGGAGTGTATGTGGGTTGATTGACCTACGGGTGGGCAGGCTATGGCCTTGGTCAAGTCCAAAACCCTTTCCCCTAGGCATATGCACTACTGTTGAGGGTTTCTTGGAGGGTCATCCCTTGTTGAGGTTGGAGAGATGCCTAGGGACGGTGGATGTAGGCTAGAAAAGCTTCATGGTCTCTTGTGTACGGCTGTAGGTTTTGAGAGCAAGGGCCGAAATCCTCAACAAACTTACCCACAACATGTATATATGACAATTGCATTATGGGAAGCAACTCTATAGAGGGATACATGTACATTTGCATAGAGAGTCCCCCTTACTAGTGATATGGGCATGTGACTTGCTCTTATGGGAGAACCTGTGATACACATACTATGATCGTGGTTTCACTATTTATTGGCTAGCTTTGACAGAGAAATCATGAGCTCCTGCATATGGGTCCCTTTGGGTTGGTTTTAGAAGATAGTTGTGGATCGGATTTTCTAGCATGGGTGGAGTGCCCTGACAATCACTTTTCTTGACCCATTGGTACCAATCCACTCTAGAGGTATTTTTGAGTGTTTTAGAAATTTTTTAGAATTTTAGAAATATTTTTTTCGACTTTTTTTAATTCTTTTGTGATTTTTAAATATTGTTCATAATTTTTATAAAGTATTTTATGGCTTAAAACCCTAAAAATAGCAATCTTGATATTTTGGAGTTTTCTTGAGCATTGTGGCACCCACATGGGGGGGGGGCTAAGTTCGCAGCCGCACATGGGAGGGGACCTAGATGCAGTGCGACGTGGGGCTCACATGGGCCACACACCTACATAGGTCGGATGCCCCACTTCTTTCCAGATTTTTATGGACATTTGGGGGGAAAGATTGGGGGGAAAGATTTCCCACTTGTTTGGAAAATCTTCCCCAAGGCATTTTGTAAGATCTTGATAAATTTAGTTGGTTTTGAAAAATATATTCCTATGACTTTGAAAATTGGCCAAGACTCTTCGACTTTGAACTTCGTCAAAGTCTTTGTGAGAGAAGAAATTCTAGTTAAAATAGAGGATGAAATTTAAGTGGTCTTATCCTAGATTAACTAGAAGTAGATATTGGTCAAAGCTTCAAGGGATAAGGTTCCTAGATTTCTTCCTAAAGAGTGATAGCTGATTTTAGGAGTGGATAGCTCTGATTTGTTTCACTCTCACCCCATGGATTACCTAGGATTCCTAAGGTAAAATTGAATACTGATTCAAGTGGGAAGACCCAAGGGCCATTAAAGCCTATATAAGGATGAGTCTTCCCTTCATTCTCTTCACCTTGAATTCAGACCTCTCTCTCCTCCATGCTTCTCTCTCTCTCTCTCTCTCTCTCTCTCTCTCTACTCTCTTTCTCTCTCTCTCTCTCTCTCTCTCGCACTCTTTCCTCTAGGGTGGCGCCCCCCACCCATATAGACCTAGCAGTGGCATACACCACCTAGGGCACAGAGAGTGGGCACGCCCAGTCTATCTTGGTTAAAAGGGAGGTGCCACATAGTGGCATGCCCCAAAAGTTTATAAGGTGTAAAGGTATCGTAGTTCTAGTCGTTCATATTCTTAGGCCCATAGATTAGTTAGAGGGTATTCTAGATGTGTTTCCCAGTTTTATAAATTCAGCAAGACCTAAGGACCAAGTGCATCAGTTTTGTAATAGAATGTGAGATGTGTTAGAAGTTGTAAGGGGGTAACCCTACCCAAAGGTTCAATAAGTCTTCTCAAATCTTGTTTGTCAGTTTTATTTTAGTCTTGATTTATATTTGTTTTAGAAGTCCTAATTGTATTCGGAGTCCTATTTGTGTTAGAATTCCTACTTTGGCTAGGACTCCTACTTAGATTAGAATTCCTAATTATATTAGAATTCATATTGTAAGTTTGAATTTGGTTTTGAATAAAAGTTTTATTTGGCAGTGAAAATTAAAAATCTTAAACTCAGCCATGGCCAATCCCAAGCCGGTCATGCCACTCCTAAGCCGTAATAAAGCAGGGGGGTTGTATTAGGTAGGCAGACAACATAAAACTTTGCCGCATCTTTTTACTCATGCTTGATGTTCCTTGAAAGCGAAGCACTGTACTTGGACCCAGGTTCAATGAGAAAGAGCAAGGGTTAGCGAAGGCATTCTGTCACACCCCAAGATTTCTAACATTCCCGAGGTACGACCGACTATTCTTATACTAGGAAAACATTCAAATTCCTATTAATATATATTGTAACAAAACAAATTTTTCTATTAATTAAAATTGGTACAAAGTTTGCTCACAACTGGTATTAACATGAAGTCTAGGTATACAACTGTTGATAGAAA